AAAACGCATACAACAAAATCTAGCATTCATTTATAGTAAGAACACTCAGAAAACTAGTGATAGTAGGAAATTTTCTCAACCTGATAGATGACATTTATGAAAAACGAACAGCTAATATCATACTCAGCGGGGAAAATATTTCCCTAAGATTAAGCACAAGGCAAAAATGCCAGCTTTCTGACCATGGTATTTTCCAACACTCAGTCCTAGCACTCTGTGTTCTCCTTCCCTCCTTCTCCTCCCTCCTCTCTCTCACTGTCCTCTCACCATCCTTTACCTCATCTCTCTCCTCCTCACAGAGGTAATCCATTCTCACAAATCTAATTATACTCTAAACTCCAGATTTCAAATGTTACTACTCTATTTTTAGCTCTTAGACAATCCCACTTGGAATTAACTCGTACCAAAACCAACTAGATTCTCCCCCTTAAGCCTGCTCCCATTCTCCCAGTATTGTCAGACTAGACTGCCAATTCTTATTTCTGTATAATGCTGCTGGGATTCACACTTCCTTTTCCTCCTCATTGCCATTAATCTGCTTCAGTCAGGCCTGTCACTTCACACTTATAACACTGCAGTAGTCTCTTAATGAGAATCTCTTTTTTTTCTTTCCCCAGACTCTTCTCCCTAAAAGTCTATACCAATAAAACCTGAAAAGGTCCAATTATCTCATGTCACTTCCCTACATTAGAATCTATAATTCTGGTAAGCAACTGGATCAAGCAAAGCTAAACTTTTAAGAAATAACACAATATTAGCAGGCCCACTTCTCCATTTTTTTGCATCCAATTTCTATCTACTGTGAATTGCTGGTTCCTCCAGTCAGCATATCTTCATGCACTTCACTCATTACTACTTTTGTTTTTCTCACATTGTTCTCCCCTTCTAAAATGTCACATTTCCATCATTTCAGATCCTGTGTTCTCTTTAAATGCAATTTTTTCTCCATAAATCTTTCCAAATCCATAGAGGGCATACCATAGCACAGTCTCTGACATGCACACAGGGTCACCATGAGTCAGAATCGACAGGACGGCAGCTGGATGCCTTTGAAGTGGAGCTAAACTTAGCCTTAGGATAAAACCAAACCAATTGCCACTGAAACAATTCCGACTCATAGTTACACCATTTGCGTCAGGGTAGAACTGTGTTCCATAGGGTTTTCAATGGCTGACTTTTTCAGAAGTAGATCACCAGGCCTTTCTTCTGAGGCATCTCTGGATTGACTTAAACTGCCAACCTTCTGGTTAGTAGCCGAGCGTTTAACCATTTACACCACCCAGGGACTCTAGTCTTAGAATTAAGGCTACTTTAAATGTACCCTAACCAAAAACCCAGACCAGTTGCCATCGAGTGGATTGCGACTCATGGTGACCCCATGTGTGTCAGAGTAAAACTGCACTCCATAGGGTTTTCAATGGCAGTGATCTTTTGGAAGGAGATCAACAGGTTTTTCTTCAAAGTGCTTCTGGGTGGATCTGAACTTCCAAACTTTCGATTAGTAGACAAAGATTTAATCGTTTGTACCACCCAGAGACTCCAAATGCATCCCAAAGGAGCTTAAAAATAAACTTTGAAAAATTCAAACTAATTTGCAAATAAGTGACTCCCCAGCAAAAAAATAAAGTTAAACACTCTTTAAAAGAATACATACATATATCAACTGGAGTCTCAAAAGAAAAGGAATGTAATAAAAGCTATTAAATCCACTGACTCAAGCAGCTCATTTTTCTTTTGCCTGGAGAATTTCCTTTAACATTTCTTTCTGTTCTGTTTTGCTGGCAATGAACTCTCCTAGCTTTTTTGGTGTAGTCTTTATTCTGCCTTCATTTTTGAAAGGAATTTTTTCTAGGTATAGAACTCTACATTAATAATCTTTTTTTCTTTTTGTACTTTACAAGATGTCTCTCCATTGTCTTCCACTGAGAATTCTGTTGTTGTTCTTTGTTTTCCATAGGTAATATGTGTCTTTTTCTCTGTTTTAGATTTTCTATTTCAGATTTTCTATCACTGGTTTTGAATAATTTGATTTTGATGCTCTTTGTTGTGTTTTTCTCTGAAACATTACTGAGAGAAATTAAAGAAGATCTAAATAAATGGACAGATAAACTGTGTTCATGGATCAGAAGACTCAATATGGTAAGATGTCAATCTCCCCAAATTTATCTACCGATTCAACATAATCTCACACAAAATCCCAGCAGACTTTTTTGTAGATGTTGACAAACTGAGTGTAAAATCTACATAGAAATCTACATAGAAATTTATCTAGATAAATTTATATTCTAAAACATACTACCAGAGAATCTTAAAGTTTGGAGGAACTTCAGGGATCAGAATTTTATGGCAGTTAAGTGACTTGTCCATTTCCACACAGGAAAAAAGAAGCAAATCCAGGACCAGGACTCAGTCCTACATGTCATACTGTGTTCTTTGGAGTAGCACATCCTATTACTTGTAATCAAGGTTAGTTCATTTTTCACTTTGCCAAGGGTGGGATTCAGATTCCTCTGAAAGATACCAGCATTTCTAGATATGCCTGCATCTCTAGATTTGCCACAACATATAGAAACATGGCCAATAATCATGCAATAACGAACCTACAAAAGATAATAAATCTTCTAAAGCTTAGTAATAAGAACTCTAATAAAAAATCTGATCTTAGAGATGAATTAACCTCTTATGAATACGTTACATATTTTAAAGACATAAAGCATTCATAAAAATGTGTGATTTTGTAAATTATTTCATGTTTACTGTCCAAAGCACTAGAATTTTACCTGATTTCATTAAAAGAGCTACTGATGTCAGGCTGGTCATCATAATTTCTTGTTTCTTTGTGATATAATACAAACCCAAACAAACCCGATCACATTTTCACAGCCTTCATCCTCTACTCTGAGCATGTCCAGCCCGGCGGAGCTGAAACAGAGTAAGCCTTACTTTTTAACTGATGTGCAGGTTCGGTTCTGAGGGCGTTCTCTAGGTGATGCCAAGCTACCTTTAACATCAATAGCATATATCTTAGTCTCATCACAGCCCTGAAGAAGGTTCATGTTTTCCCCGTCTTTAGGTTAGTAATGCCACACTGGTACCCTAACCATTCTGACTCTTAAAGAAATGTTTCCTTGTTTTGGCTGAATCTTCCCCAGACAAGGTATACTGAAGAAATATTTACTTGCGGCTTATAGTTTTGTAAGCTAAAGAAAACCTCTAACTATGCATTATTTCTGGGAGATAAAGTAAGACCTCGATCTTTTTCAGGTTCTTTGGTGGTATACGCACAAAAATCAAAACCAAACCCATTGCTGTCAGGTCACTTCCAACTCAGGTGACCCAAGGCGTGTCACAGTAGAACTGTGCTCCACAGGGTTTTCGATGGCTGACTTTTTGGAAGCAGACTGGCAGGTCTTTCTTCTGTGGAGTCACGGGTCGTGTTCAAACCACCAACCTTTAGATTAGTCGTCAAGCGCAAACCATTTGTGTTACCAGGGAACCTTCAGATACACACAGTATGCAGCTTATTAGGAGCCTTCCCACGTGTACATGCAACTCATAAGGGTCATCACCAATGATATAAAGTGGATTTTAAAATATCTATATAGAGTTGGTAAACATTTAGTCCATCTAAGAATGGTCACATCCTCCTTATAAGAGTTCTGAGGGTTTCAATAATTACAACGTACCTTACACACTGTACAAACTCAAAGAGATGTGAGTTTAACTGAGTCTTTGAGTAGAGGTGCTGAATACACAAGGCCAACTATTTTAAACTCTTAGTTACAATATGCGGATAGGAAATTAACACACTCCCTACCACCATAACAAAATAATAGAGAAATGAAGTACTTGTATTACTTCCTTACAATTCATACGCTATCATTTTATCTTTACTTTAGGGGTTAATAGATGAGGATACTTCACACAAAAGAGGCACTACACACATGTTGTTGATGGATAAATGCTGTTTCACAGAAAAAATATGGAAAACTGGAATAAACTGAAATGGATGGAATAGCTAAACAAAATAACTAAATAAAAATTCTAAGTAAATTACTGAATTACATAAAAATTTCATCATAAAATATTTTTACATGAGCACTTGAAAATCAAAATATCAAAATCAATGTCTGTACTAGGAATACCTGAAGTAGTAAAAGACCAATCAATTAACCAGTATCTTCATATAAAACTATATAGAGTAAACAGTAAAACTAATTCTCTCTTAAACACAGAATTAAAAAAACTTTGACACAATAATTACTGTGAGAATAATGTGACTAAATTATCAACGAGAGGCTTACCCAGGTTTTGTGTTAAAAAGTAATCAAGACTTGTATACGTCTAAAAAAATAAAATGATCAACAGACACAATAATCTCCTGTTCCTGAACTTAAGCAAAAACTACAGTGTTAAAAAATAATAAGCATATTGCAATAAAAATAACTAGTAGCATCCATTTTGTGGGCAATAAAGTTCTGTTTCAAATAACAAGAGTATTTCCAAATAAGAAAATTAAATTTATTACTTTGTTAAAGACTAAAACTAAATTTCTTTAAACTTCTTTCAAAATAAGGACTTGTATACATAAATCTGAAGTTTTCACTTTAAAATTAAAAACATATGGGGGTAAAAAAATTATGATTTTTATGATTTTTTTTGCTAGTTTACATAAAGAATAACATAACACTAGGTGTCTTTATTATTTTTTTAATTAAAGAAACAAAGAGTGGCAAACTAACAATTACGAAAATTAAAAATAGAAAACTCAATCGTTTGACCACATTGAATAAAATGTCAAAACACATCTAGGGAGTCAAAATTATAAATAAAACTTTGTACTAACGAGTTCAAGAATCACTTAAATGTCAGAGTAAAATGAAAAATGTCATTACTTCATCAGATTTTATTCATTTAACCCCCCTTTTGTTTTCTGCTGTTAAGTTCATTTTAGCAGAGCAGCCAAGATATAGAACCACTAAGCCAAAAATACATCCTACCTTTTTATCATACACATCTTGCCAGTTTATTCCAGAAAAGAAACTGTGTCTCATAATTTCTTTTGCATCATCTGGTCCTCCACCAAGGCTATGAGGACAGAAATAAAATTAAATGAGTATAAAATGTTTACATAAGCCTGATACATGACAAATTTTTTTGTGAAAGTGTGATTCCCTTTGTGATAGTTTGTGTGATAAATATCTATAAAACTAAAAATATTTTGCCAAAAGATCTAATATACATAATATGCTATTAATAAGAACTAGCCTGCGAACAGTATGGCATCTGGAAAACAGCACAGGTTTGGAGACAGACCTGAAAGGCAAAACCAGCTTTGGTACTTACTGGATGTGTAACAATAGAAAGTTGCTTAACTTAGTCTTTTCATCTGTAAAGTAGGGATCATAATACCAACCTCATGGGTTATTACAAGGGTTAGAAATAATATAGATATGCACCTAGAACAATAAATGATATTTATCATCACTGTCAATTTGATAAACCAAATTTCTTTAGAATTATTCAAGCGCACCCTTGTTAAAACAAATTCTGAAATGACTAATTGGTTACAAAGAAATAATTAGTGAGGTACTGTGAACGACTCATGGGTCATTTTCATCTGAAACAGTATTGTGAAAATTTGAAAAACAAATTTCTACAGAAACAGTACCGATATTCTATAAAATATTGCTGCCACTGCCGTGTAAATTAAAAATTAAACAAGTCACACATTCCTTGCCCCCCCAGTTTTTAAAGGTGCTCTTATTTAACCACAAGGTCGCAATGAGTCAGAAATGACTCGACGGGCATGGGTTTGGTTTGGTTTTTGGCTTATTTAACTGATATCTAACACAGTATTAAATTCAGGTGTTTTCTCACAGTTCAAAATCAGTGTGATCATTTAGTATTATTTGGTATGCATTACTGGTTCTTTATATCCTTCTAAAATGGATAACTTTTAAATTGATAACATGGAACATGCCAGGAAGGAAGGAAAGGAGATAGGGTTGGAAGGAAGAGAGAAAGGGAAGAGAAAAAGGAGGAGGAGGGAGGAGAAAGAGAAAGGAAGGGAGGGAAGGGGAAGGAAAAAAAGAGGAAGAAAGAAAAAAGGAAAGCAAACAAAATCTATTTAAATCTGAATTTGATAAACTGTTATCCTGTTAGTTGCTGAGTTGACTTCGACTCGTGGCAACCCCATGTATAACAGAGCACAATGTTGCCCGGTCCTGCAACATCTTCAAGATGGCTGGTATGTTTGAGCTCATTGTTGAGGTCATTGTGTCAATCTAGCTACTGAGATAAAGCTTAATATAGCAAGCTTTATTTGGATTTGTTCGTGGTTAGGAATGATAGTATGCTGGTAAATGCTAAACAATCAGCCCTCTGGGGGAAATTATACATCTGCAATACATACATACATTTATTGTAAGTTTTACTGACATAAAGGATGTGTAGCACAAAACTTACAAAGAACAATAAAACAAACAATATTCTTGGTTGTAAATTAATTAGCCTATTGATTCTCACAGAACACCTCTGTTAATTTTTGTAAACTCTTGTATCCAAAGTCAACCAAGGAATACAAATGACTTGTAAGTAGCTGAGACATAAATATTGGCTAATATTTTTGTTTATATTATTTATTATAAATATTTTATTTATAAGATGAAAGTGATACACCAGACATATGTCAGAATATCACCTGTCAGCGACATGAGTGACTTCTTTGTTGAATGGTTAATAGTTTTTGAATTGTTGTTAGGTGCCATTGAGTTGGTTCTGACTCATAGTGACCCCATGTGCAGTGGCCCAGTCCTGCAACATCCTCACAATGCAGCCACTGTGTCAGTCCATCTCGCTGAGGGTCTTCCTCTTTTTTGCTGACCCTCTACTTCATCAAGCATGATGTCCCTCTCCAGGGACTGTTCCTTCCTGATTACATGTCCAAAGTACAAGAATAGTGGAAGAATATTTCCTCACCATGTAACAGCTACAGACACAACAAACTTAAATGTAATCTGCAATATTAACATTTTGTCCCTCACTTTCTTAAGGCTAAACAATCAACAAAACCACAAATCAAACCCTGATTTATAGTGTCTGCTGATTTCCCTGGTGTAAATACTCCCACCATGGCCAATTTCAAGCTATCAACATGATGTCACTCAACAGGGAGGTGGTATACATTATATGGTATACTCACAGATATGGCAGACATAAATAACCTCAAGACATAGAGAGTAGCAAAATGTAACAAAGTTATTAAGTGATGAGTTTTGAGTATTACTTTTGCTTTTAATATACTTGATTTAATTGTAAGTTTATGTAATTTAATTCTTTATAATGACTGGGTTTAATAATCAATTCACAAAATTTCTGCAAACTTAACTGGCTTCCCTGAGGTGTTATGTGCCAGCTCTAACACATTACTGAGTAGGAAGCAAACCAAATATGTCATAAAAATAAACAACTGTACAATTCTAATGAGTTCTGGTACTACCGGGTGTAGGAAACATGGATTGTGAAGGACTGAAGGTCCTCTGACACACTGTCAGAACGGAAAATAAAAAAAATCAGCTGCTATCTAAAAATCTCTAGTAATAAGTGTTCCGACAACCTGGGTCTCCTATCCCCAGATCCATATAGAATTCACTAAATGCACCACCTCTCTGATACAGGACTTTTAGATTAGATCAGATCGTAATATCTATGCTCACATTTGGAACCTTCAGATCGGCAATTCTGTATTTAGTTAACACTCAGCACTCCCTACAAATTGTTTAGGTCTCTTTCCCTAGTACACTGCAAATTCCCTTGAGGGCAGAGATAGTGCTGGATTATCCAAAAGGCATTCTAAGCTTGTGCTTAGGAAACCAGAAAAGCACAAACAGTAAAACACACTTTTTGGAAAGAATTTAACATTTCAAAATATGCATCAAAGTAGTCTGCATGAGAAAATCAGAACTTCATTGTATGCTACGGTTTATGTCAATTTTTTTTTCATTTTGAATTATGTTTGTGGGGGTGGGTGAGGTGGGAGCTGGAGTGGAGAGCTATAATCAGTTTGTTATTTAGGACTTCTAGAGATTTGAATCCAACTTTTCTTATTTGTTTTCATGTAATCCCTCCAGTTCTCTAACTGTAGTTTGACTCTGGACATAAACCAAAAAAACCAAACCCACTGTGGTCGAGTCGATTCCGACTCACAGTGACCCTACAGGACAGAGCAGAACTGACCCATAGGGTTTCCAAGGCTGTAATCTTTATGGAAGCAGACAGCCACATCTTCCTCCTGCAGAGCTGTGGGTGGGTTCGAACTGCCAGTATTTAAACTAAAGTATAGGCCATGAACACTATGCAGTCTAAGAATATAATGTTAGGCTGCCATTTTAGAAGCTGAGAGAGACTGTTTAACACAGACTTCCTCAATGTATGAAACTCAAAATTTCAATGTCAATGACTCCCTCATATATAATTTAAGACTTCAAAATAATACCAAAATATGTTTTGAACTTGAGGTATTTATAACTAAGAATACAAAACTCCAATATCAGAATGCCAAACTAACTTCTCTGCTATGGATTATTCACTATCAAGAACATCACCAAAAAAAAAAAAATCCCACTGTCGTCAAGTTGATTCCGACTCATAGTGACCCTATAGGACAGAGCAGAACCATCCCATAGGGTTTCTGAGGCTGTAATCTTTACGCAAGCAGACTGCCACATCTTTCTACTGCAGAACGGCTGGTGGGTTCAAACCGCTGACCTTTTGGTTAGCAGCCCAGCACTCAACCACTGCGCCACAAGGGTTCCTTGCAAGAATATCACAGAAATCACCTTTTCCTGGTGTTTCTTGAAGGCAACATAAGGTCATACTTTTCCTATGAAGTCTACATGGAAGGATAAAGGAGACACTAATAGAAAGACCATAAAGTAATATATAATAATAAATAAAAGCAAAAGCTGACCCATTGATAGGACAGACAGCAATCCAGTAAAGATTATCAGAAAAGTTGAAGCACTATTTAAAATAGCTGAATAACAGTAACAAAGATCATAATAAACATTATAGGTAAACTACCATGCGATCTTTCGTTACTTTTCCATAGACTTTGAGGGTCCTATGTTGACTCCTTCTCTTCTTTCTCCCTCTTACATTCTGATGTTTCTCAGGGTTTTTTCCTGGGTCCTCTTCTCTTCATACCCTACCCTACTCTCAGCTACTGTCATGGCTCCAGCTACCTCCTAGATATTTATAGCCCCCAAATCCATGTATTCAGTTACTGTGTTTCTCTTAAACTCTGGTACTATTATTTCCAATTGGTTACTTGACATTTCCATCTAGGTTGTCTATAGAAGGTGCAGACCGAGTATGCCCAAAGCTAATATCAGCATCTACCCCATCAGTGTTTCATTTGTGGTACACGGGGTCGCTATGAATCAGAAATGACTTGACGGTACGGGTCCCTAACAACAACAACAACCCCATCAAGCCTTCTCCTTCGCCTATATTCCCCGTCTGTTAATAAAACTGTCTTCTCAAACTAGTCACCCAAGCTGGAAATCTCCAGACCTCCCTGACTCCTTCCACTTCTTTGCCATTCCTTAATCACTCGAGAAGCTCTGTTTATTGCTCTTTTGCCACTGCTTCAGGAGGGGTCTTAATTCTTGTCTGTACAATTCCATAACTGCTCTGCCTGCCTACCCTCCCTTCACGCTTCTAATCCATTCACCACAAAGCTGCCAGAGTTACCTTTTCGTAAAGGAGTTCTGGTTATGCCTTCTCTTGCTTTAAATACTTCAGTGGCTTCTCTTTATCTTCTGAATAAAGATTAAATATTTTCTAAGAAACATAAGGTCCTTTACAATCTATCAGCTTCATCTCCCAATGTTACTCAACTCACATTCCACACTCTAGTCACTGAACTTCTCAAATACCATGCTCATTTGCAATTCGACTATACTTTACATGCAAACTTTTTTGCTTGGAATGACACTCTCCTCTCTGTAAACTCCAACTCCTTCATGAACCAACTCAAGTCTTAGAAAGGCTAATAATTTCAATAGCAATCTGTACATAGCTTGACCTGAGCATTTACTACATTTCACTGTATAAGTATGTTTTGTGACCATCTAGAGCAGAGACCTGTTCATCTTTTTCACCCTTGCATTCCCAATATTTAATGTACCAGTGGAGGAACCTGACACATCTATTATCAAAGGAAACATTAGATAATTGAAAATGCCTCATCTTCTCTTTGGAACAAGCCCCTGGGTGGACAAACTATTAAGAGTTGTCCTACATACCAGGCCACTAACATTCTAGAAATTTACCTCATGTTTACTAAAAAAATTACTAAGTACCTACTATGTGCTATCCATTGGAATGCGGACAATAAGAAAAAAAAAAGAGATATGGACATGTAAACCACAAGAACAATTTTGTTTTACCAGCCACTTACAGAGGGCCACAAAAGAAAGGGTGGTAAAAGTTACCTAAAGAAGCCAGGGAAGAATGTGATAGAGTCACTGCCCCTGAAACCTAAGCCGAACACTAGATCCCAAAGTCAAGTAGATAAAATGGAAATCGTAGCTGTATTTAAAGACTTACCTGTCACTAAGTGCAGGCAATATTTCCTTTGCTAATAGATGTATTAACTACATTAACTGTGAAATAACCAAATTAAATGGCACATATTTAAAAATCTGAACCAATTGAGAAATGTATGCATTGTAAATGAGACATAAAAGACACACTGAATAGGCACCAGAAGACCTGATTTCTCCTCTTGCTTCTGCAAGAATTTTTGTGAGCCCTTAGATAAATCACTTAACCCTCTCTGGGCCTCTGTTTCTTCCCCAGTCAGAGGGAGCTGACGATATCATCTGCCCTATCTACTTCACAAGCCTGCTGAAAAAAGCAAGGGAGGTAATCAATGTGAAAGTGGTTTGAAAGAAAACAGAAACGCTTTACAAATAGAAGGTGATATCTCAGTTACTATGATTTGGAAGCACATTTTTAAATCGTTTTTCACAAAGCAAAAAGGTGGTACCTCTCTTATTATGTTTGTTTATTTCTGCGTAAGGTAAAATCATGTTACTTATGAATTTAAAGGCTAGAAGTATGTAATGAAAGCCATCTCTAAAGGTAGACAAAGCAAAAATTTTAAAATTAATTTATCCCATTCACGCATTTTATCGAGACGCAACCATAAATAGAACATTGTAACAAATCATTATGTTAGGTTTTATGGAAGATTCAACACTACATAAAGGTGGCACAATGGTTAAGAGCTATGGCTGCTAACCAAAAAGGTCAGCAGTTCGAATCCACCAGCCGCTCCCTGGAAACCCTATGGGGCAGTTCTACTCTGTCCTCCAGGGTCACTATGAGTTGAAATCGACTCAACGGCAACGGGTTTTAATGGGTCGTCCTTAAGATGCTTATGATTTAATAAACTTTCAGAGAAGTACTGATATGCATACATGTCTACATGGAATACATATATACAAATGCATACACACACAGTAAGGGACATTTTTAAATTAACAGTGATTTCAAATACGATTCATAAAATGTACGGGCAACTGAATATACAAACATAAACAAAGAATGCTGTAGCTCACTGAGCAAAGCAGCAAGCGCTGTAGCCTCCTTCAGGTCACAGCTATAGCTACAAAGACAGGAATAGTAAGTATGGAAAGATTTTTTTTTTAAACCATCAATTCTTTTAGCCATGCATGAAAAAGAATATTTTCAAACGACAAACAACAAGTAGTTAGCTATATTAACCAAGGTTGAGGGGAGGGGGAGAGTACAGAGACCAGTCTATTCTTTTCACGATGTTAATCAGCAGAAATGTAAAGGCCCAGAGACTGAAAGGAAAAAAAGGGATCTTCCCCTCCCCACAATATCAAGCAACAGGGCAATTAAGAAACTGTCGACTTATAATATGGATAACGAAACTCAATATCCTTCTTGGGAAAAATCTGCATAAAATTTTCAAGCTAGGGAAACGTTCAGGAAATTTTTTAAATGTTCAATATTACGCAGTTAAAAATAAGTCAGTAATTCAGTAGGAAGATATCTACACCAAATACATTATGTCACGGAGTCAGTTATATGTGAATTAGTTTCTACATCATAATTTCTAACCATGTTCATCATTAACTCAATGAGCAATACTAGAGACTTACCGTTTATTTGGATCCTTTATTAAGAGCCCTGAAAGCAATGATTTTGCGTCTGAAGAGAGTGTTCGAGGAAATTTAATATCTTCCATTAGTATTAGTTCAAAAAGTTTCTCATGGTCCTGGTTGTAGAAGGGTAACCTCCCACACATCATTTCATACATGACAACACCTAGGCCCCACCAGTCCACTGCTCGACCGTAGTCATTATCTTCTAACACCTAAAAATGAAACCAGTTAAAAAGATTAATTATTACACTTTAACTTTCAAAGGATTATGCATAAAACATAATATTTTTACATAAAAATGAATCGCAACTTTCAAGGCCTTGGTATGCTTGACATTTGAACTGTGAAGCATCCTTCAAAAGATATAAATCACACCAAACATATGAGCTGTTCAATATATACCCAGAAATGATCAGTGTACAGGAGTCCCCGGATTATGAATAAGCTCCATGCCTAAGTCTGTCTTTAAGTTAACTTTGTACAGAAATTGGAACAGTTAGGTACAGTTCATATCTAATGTCAGTTAGTTCAAATGTTTTAGTATATACTGTTACCTTTCTAAGCACGAAAAACGAACACTTTCAGATATACTAAAATATCTTTAAGATAATACAGTAGTAATAATAATAATAATGTCTTGATGCGTGTTGCAAAGTAGCACTTGATTGTTATTACAAACCACTTTATGTACCTCGAATTTTTAACATAATAGGCTTTAGAGGGGTTGGTTTGTAACTATGGATTGTATGTAAGTCGGACGTTCGTAACCCAGGGGCCTCCTGTACGAAAAAGGGGACAGGTCATGTAATAAAAGTCCAAGTAAGTGAGTACATAGAGTACTAAGGATAAAATGAAAAGAGTTGGCATATTTGCATATTTTCTCTTAGGCCTATTTAATTTTTCATCTGGTTCCACAATGTAGACTTTAAATAACAACTCATGGCTAGACGATGCTGATTAAACAGCAAACAATGCGCCTTACACATTCTTGTATTAAAAAGAACTAACACAAATTGAATAGCAAAAGATAGGAGCAAACCAATGCAATGTTACAAAGAAGTGTATAGGGCATGACAACCATTAAAATAAATTTGAAAGCTTTCAGAGATCACTACATGTTTAAACTCTTTCAGGAAACATTTAATCAAGGAAGTGAATATTAAGGTTTATTGTTTGGGTTGTAACAAACTTTAGTATCCAAAGTTTTAGTAACTTACAACAAAGAATTTTTGTTAAACTCAAACAACAGAAATCATATTTAATATCTGTGTGGTACATGCCCTTAAATCTGTTTCCCAAAAATACATTACACACAAAATAAGTTTACTAAGAAATTTACGGAAGTACCAGTTGGGTTATGTGGAGCTACCTGCTCAAATCGAAACATGACAGCTTGCCATTTTACTCAGAAAAAACGTGGTTTTATCTGTTTATTAGGTTTGTTTCTCATCCAGTGAAATTTTCTTCATGTATATAGAAACTTCCAGCCGCTCCGCATGAGAAAGATGTGATTAGTCTGCTTCTGTAAAGATCTACAGCCTTGGAAACCCTATGGGGCAGAGTTCTACTCAATCCTATCAGGTCGCTACGAGTCAGAATCCACTTGACGGCAGTGGCTTTTTGTGTTTTTTTTTTTTTTTAAACATATAGAATTTTCAATATTTTATTTTAAATAACTATATACAATCAAATAACTATACATAATCAAATAATTACATATAATCAGATAACTAAGATTATATCTGAATAATCTTAGAGCTTATTTTATTTGATCCTCTCAGCTTAGGGAGAACCAAATTGAGAAAACTAGACACACAAAATTTATTAATGTGGGGGGAAAAAAACTTGTAACTGATTACATAAGAGAGAATTTGACACAGAATAGGGTAGAACTCATGTGCTCAGCTTTCTTAGTATAGATTAATTACTCTACTGAAGATTATTCCCTTGTGACTGTTATTTAAAATTTACCAATAATTTCACAGAATTGCAGATAATCATATTTTTGGCAGTAACACTGTGATCACCTATAAATCTATAAAAGGCACCTAGTAGACAGAATATTTAAAGATGGAGGATGCACTTTCAAGGAAAAAAAACTGTTAAAGCTCTATTCAGTACATGCATTAAGAAAGTTATGAAAACAATTTTAATTCAATTGTTATCATTGTTCTGTGGCTAAAGAATACTTGGAACAGCATTGGCAATGTATGAACAAGTCTCGTTCCTATGTTTTTCCAAAAATCCTTTGTAAATCACGAACTAACCAAAATATTTTCTGGAAAAACAACAAACTATAGTTTCTGAATAAGTCAATCACAAAAGGACAAATACTGTATGACCTCACTTACATAAAAAGACAAGAAAAGACAAAGTATAGAGAACAAAGTTTATTAGCGGTTACCAGGGGTGCGAGGGAGGGGGAAATGGGGGATTAATGGTGATGGAAAAATAGCATTGATTAAGGGTTGCAAGGCAAATTATTATAATTGCTACAATAAGTTATATATCTGCAAATGGTTGAATTGGCAAAAGCTGTGTGATAGATGTATTTACAATAATGACAAAAAAAAAAAAGAGAGAGAGTAGTTGCTGGGGCTGATTATGTACAGCCAACAACGTTATGGGATTTGGTTTCTTGGTTTGGAGGTTTAGGGTCATAATTTTCTAGGACATCCCAGTTAATTGCTCTTATAACAGGTTTAGTGCTTCTTTTCTACATCCTAGTTTGATGCATACTGCCTGGGGTCTTACAGGCTTGCAAGTGGCCATTCAAGACACAACAATTGGTCTCTCCTGGTCTGGAAAAATAGAGGAAGAAGGAGAGTCAGCAATAGGAAGAGGATATGGAATATGTGGCTCATTGCTTCCATAAACAACTGCCTCCTTTGTCATGAGACCAGAAGAACTAGATGGCGCCTAGCTACTATTACTGAACATTTTGATCAAAGAATCCTTAGAAGAATCCTGATCAAAGGGGGGGAAAATTCAGAATAGAATTTAAAATTCTCATGTACTCCAGACTTCCTGAAGCCATGGAGGTTGGATGAATTACTGAAACTACTGCCCTGAGATAATCTTTAAACCTTAAACCAAAAATAACCCCTGAAGCCTTCCTGAAACCAAACAATAGTTTAGCTTAACTAGTAAAAAAGCCTGCCTTGAGCATTATGTTATTTTAAGAACTACTGTACTTTTAACAAACAATGCGTGCCTTCTGCGTTTGTTTCCCAGCCATCCCTCCTGCCATGAGGAACCCCCATAAGTGCCGCCATGCCAATCCTCTTCTACATGTTGCTGTAAAAAAAAATCAGCATAGTGTGCTCACCAAAATATCTCACCAGGGGAGGGCACAGCCAGCAAACAAATACAGAAGGTGCACATTATTTGTGGAAAAATATGGTATCTATATGGGATCAAATTGACAACAGCACCTTGAAAGATTAGATAGGAATCTTAGGGGGCAGTGAACTGATGTTAATGGGGGAGGAACAACTCAGTAAAGGAGGGTGAGAAGAACATAACCAATGTCACTACATGGTACATGTAGAAACTGCTGAATTGATGTAAGTTTTGCTGTGTATATTCTCGACAATAACAAAATTATATAAAAAAATTATAGTTTCCATCTTTAGCTAAAATGAATTTCAAATTTCTACTTATTTGAAACGAGTAATATGAGAATAGAAAACAAGAAATAAGCTAGAGAACCAGAAGGAATTCTACATAAAGAAAGTGCTGCATCTTTAACTTTAAAATACCAGGGAGTTTTTAAAATAATTCTACCGCTTCAAGGATCTATCACACAGTCAATTAGTAGAATGTACTGCTTGTGGGCCTTTATCTACTTGATAAAGGATTTTATCTAATAACAAAAAATTTCAAAATCTAAACAACCTTTTACTGCATTCTTACAGCAGCAACAAAACAGTAGCACACATGCAAAAAGAGCCAAATGTGGTTTTTAACCTCTTTTTTCATAAAACCATAAAAAGCATAAAAGCTGGATTAACTGCCTCCCGAACCCACATTTCGCCAGCCGGGTTCTCATCCCCAGCTGGCAAAACTGGCAATCCTTTATTTTTGTTTAAATACCTGGTTTGCAGCCAGAAGGGAAAGTGAATACATAAAATAGGGGTTTTATTTTTGAAGAGGAGTACGCAACTGAAAAATAAAACTGCATTATAAAAAGATCTGATATTAAAATAAATTTTATTCAGCTTTATAAAATGAATACTGACTCTCCAAGTAAGTGGTTTTGCTTCTGAACATACGTGCTTTAACTGATATATACACACATAATGCTGTTATTGGAACTGGCTGCCGTATCACTTTATACTGAACAAAACCGATGTAATGTATTGCCTTACTGACATGTCAACTTAAGTAATATTGAGGAGAAAACATCTTAACAACCTAGCCAGCCCTCTCCACCAGAGTCTTTGCTATCAATTAAAAAGAAAGAGTTTTGCTCAGCCAGATACTTCTACCCCTGAAGAGCTGGAAGATGAAATAAACAAGAAATAAAAATAAAATGATCACAATATTCTGCATGTGGCTATTATATAAAACATGTTCTCGCTCTTCGTACAATATCCTCTCCCTTTTTCTTTCCTTAAAGTATTTCAAAACATACTGCTTTGAGATGCTATGGAAATCTCAGAGTCAAAATAACTAATTCAAATACAATAGCCTCATTTTTATAATTTTTAAGAGATAATTCTTCTCCCTTACTCTAAGCACTTCTTTTTCCAAAATTACACTGTTGTTGTGAAGTGCCGTCAAGTTGGCTGAATCATAGTGACGCTATGTACAACAGAACGAAACACTGCCTGGTCCTGCCTATCCTCACAATGCTTGCTATGCTTAAGCTCACTGTTGCAGCCACTGTGTCAATTCACCTTGTAGAGGGTATTCCTCTTTTTCACTGACCCTCTACTTTACCAAACATGATGTCCTTCTCCAGGGACTGGTCCCTCCTAATAACATGCCCAAAGTATGTGAGATGAAGTCTCGCTATCCTTGCTCTTAAGGAGCATTCTGGCTATACTTCTTCCAAGACAGATTTGTTCATTCTTCTGGCAGTCCACGGTATATTCAATATTCTTCGCCAACACCATAATTCAAAGGTGTCAATTCTTCTTTGGTCTTCCTTACTCATTGTCCAGCTTTCACATGCATATGAGGCAATTGAAAACACCACGGCTTGGGT